ACCATAAGGTCTGTAAGATTTATAGCCTGAAATATAATGCTGGGTCAGAACAGCTGCTGCTAAACAGACATCATGTTTCGTACCAAGTAAGTCTCCCTATGACAGCACTGGCACCAGAGAACCACCTCACCAGAAGGGAAACAGCTTGAGAGAGTGCCCCTGAAGATGACCATAAAGTTTGGGCAGTTCATGAGTGAAGAATGCTGTGGATGTCTCCTCAATTACTGAGCCATACTTCTGTATCTTGGCAGCACTGGGCTGCCAGTACAATTATTTATATTCAGTTAAACATACTAGGCAAAGAAACACAGAGACTGCTGCATGCTTGTTTCAAACCTGGTATCCCACTAACAAGTAGTAGGGGATATCCTCAGATCCTCTTTAATTTTCCATAAAACAACAAATATTTTAAATAAAATACGGCATTGCAATACAACTCTATAGGCTAAATTAGTGGCTATAGCAAACGCTGATGCTTCCCAGATCTTACTAGTCTAAGATTTTAAAAGTTTAGCTCTTTAAGTGCACATTTCTTACCTAGCACCAAAATAAGCGGTTTAGCTAATAGGAAGGTACATAACCCTGGTGTGCTTCTGGAACGTAAGTAATATGGTTAAAACACCAGAGCATACTTACCCACTCCCTTCAGTATTACTTCATCATTTACTAACGTATATATTTCAGCTTAAGTGTCAGCTCCTCAACATTTCTAATGAAAGCACAAAAAGGCTTTAGATTAACATATTTGATTCTAAATCTTTTTTTTTTGGGGGGGGGGGAATTCCCACCTCAAAATTTCCTAGTTAAAATCTAGTTGTATAAGCTTTCCTAAACATCAATATTGCAGACTTCAATAACGTACATCATATAAAATTCACTGACCATCACTGACAAGTAAACTCTAAACACAGCTTTGATTTGAATAAGCTAATGTCCTCAAATTTCCTTATATAATTGTTCACCTTGAGTGATGGCATTAATCCACAGTCTTTCTTACCCATCACACAGATATCTTTGACAATTAGTCAAATTGACAATTAGACAATCTTGAGAATAACTGCCCAGGATTCATTCAGGACCTGCCTGTGTCTTCACTAATATAATTCTATACAAGCTAGTTTATATCTTCACTTTCATAATTATGTATTAGCATTTTCATTGGTTCTTCAGGAGGCATTTAATAATCATTGGCTCTTCAGGTGGACAATATTGCTTTGAGGAAAGTGGGTTAGCAGTTTATACTACTATTATAATATTGCACTTATATCCCACTCTTTGCCTCTTGCAAGGCTCTCAAGATGGCTTTGGCAGACCCATGTTTATCCTCACAAGAGCAGCCCTGCAAGGTAGTGGGAGTTTAGAGTCTGTCACCTGGCTTCAAGGTCCTGCACTGATTGCTTGGTTTATATGTAATTCCCAAAAGCAGCTGGTTTCTAAGAATGTTTTTACATTAGTGGTGAGAGCCAGTGTGGGGGTTAAAGTGCTGGACTGAGGATCTAAGAAATCTGGGTTACAGTCCCCATTTAGCCATGCAATGTAATCTAATTAACGAAGGACCCAATCTTATGGCATTCTAACAATGGGGTTGCAGGTATAGGATTCTTCAGACCCTGGCACCAAGGTCATTCAACCTGAGTGCTTACTCTGACAACTGAGCCTCTGCCTTGCCATCTTCTCTGTCAGTGCAGAAAGAACCAAGCTGGCTTCCTCCCCCAATATCACAAATACACTTTGGAGAGGGGAAAGGGGGCATGCTGAGGCATGGAGGAGTCTGGAGTCATCTTCATATGCCAATTCCAATCCATGTCCAGGCTCCTTCCTTCCACCTCCTTGAAAGCAGTCATCTAGATGAAATGCATGATGGAGATCACCATCACTTTGCTCTGGTGAATGGATGGACATGAGCCACGGGGTTCAAAGGCTTATGAGTAACCTGAGTGGAAGCGACTGACTTGTGTCCCAAAGAATGTGTTTATTTATTAACTGATATATCTACAAACAACATTTAAGTTATAAAGAATAAGCCAATCCATAAAACCAATCTAAATTTACAGAAATTTATCTGTGGTGTGCAAAGCAGTGAAAGTGACTATTTACAAGTTGCCTTATGTCACTCCTGGAAGCCATTATAAGAAAGCTGTGTCCTCTTCCCACTGTCAAAATTCCAAAGCAAAGCAAAATATTGAGAAAAGCATTGTAAAAATCAAGTAACAATACCCTGTAGCTGCCCAGGCTTTGCTACTATCCGTTTGGACACAATCAGAAAATGCATACATTTTACGGTACTTAACCTGTTGTAAGTTTCAACAGGATGAACTTTACTTCCTGGGTAACAGAAAGGCATACTCCACAAATGTGTAATCAGAAAAGCCCCTAAATTTTTGCCATCTGTTCTTATGTGAAGAATTCATTACCTAAAATGTGAATGTCTCAGAACACTGAAACTGTAGACTGTTGCTACATTCTCGTTATTCATTGCTACCATTTAAAATTATTTATTCAATGCTCCTGTGGAGATCCCAAGTTTACAGACAAAACCCCCTAAAAGGCCAGCCCAAATGCCCATCAGCCAACTAGATACCTATGGAAGAGCCTGAGCAGGTCATAAGCAAGCAGTCCTACCTCCTGTTCTACTCTGCCAGACAATTTATGGCTATCATGACTAGTAGCCATTGTGGTAACCCACAGAGTTCTGGCTCTTGGGTGGTATAATATCTGATTAAAACAGCAGTGGATTCTATTTTGCCTGCTTACCAATGAAATGGAATCTATCACAGGAATGGATTTCTACTCTGCTCTAAAGCTCTCTGAATTTTCCCATACTCATTCAGGAGAGCTGGAAGTCCTATCAGGAGGGCAAGGCAAAAATTCTGTGGCATGACCCTCCATGAATTTGTGTACTCCCTTCCTAAAGCTGTCCATGGTGGCAATTATACTGTAAAGAAGTAAACCCTACAGTTTAAGAATAAATTTGAAGAGGTGGCCTGATTAAATACAAAGGTATATATTAAATAGGGATACTATGTAATCAAATTTCAAAGAATTCCCTGATCTTATATCTGTTTTATGCTCTAGTAATTATAAACTATCCTTGGTTCTTAGTTGACTAATATAAAGAGTTTGCATTAGCAGATGTGACAGCATTAATTTGTTTTATGTAAAGAATTCTTAATGTAGCATTTACAAAAAATCCTTCAAGTACTACTTAAAATGTAGTTAAGCCCCCTGGATAAAAGTTAACTTTTAATATTAATCATGGTTCCAATTCTACATACAATTCAAGTATAAAATACTTTGGTATAGGGAATGTCACTTTAACTGGGGTGATTCCATGTATGTGAAGTTAAGTTGTTCCTACTGGCAGAAGTCTCAGAAATCATGTACTATAATACTTAGTTTAAAGTACTCTATTGTCTATTTTCTTGGTATTTTAAATACAATTTTGCTATTTATTCTTTACTGGAAGAATATACTAGATTCTAATTTGTGGTCACAAACTGACTCACTCTTTTACCTTATACAGAAGGTGCTAGAAGTGGCATTAGAACAGTGCTTCCAAAGTGGCATGGCTTGGTCCGCATGCAACAAAAATGGGCAATTCTTAGATTAACTCTGGGTTGCTTAACCCAATAATTTCTGGGTCTGCATGTCACAAAAATGTTAATTAAAATTGGAAATAAAGTGAGAACACCTCACATTCTCAACTTGTCTCTGCAATTTCTAGGTTAAACAACCATGATGTAAAGATTGGCTCACTGTCTTCTATATATGGTAGGTAAATGAAAACATGAAACTTTTTCTAAGTTCAATACATACTAAAGTCTGAAAGTAGCAGCAGCTGCTATTATATGAACAGGCTCTTAAAGATCCAAGTATAATCTCTTTCCCAGTTCTGCCTTCTGATAAGCTACTACTAATAAAAAGGATAAGGATTCTACCCCCATTTTGAGCCCATATGAAGAAATGACAGTATAAAATCTTTTTAATTTTTTCTGGTAACACATACTCATTTCAGTCTCAACTCTGGAAATTTCTTACATTTCTGTACTCAGAAGATGTTCACTACAGAAAAACACTGAACTCTACAGAAAGACTTAATGGTTTAAGTTTCAGGGAAGCCCCTGAGATGAAGTGCACCTATAGGAAAGATTACTTCAGAGAACACATCCCTTGACGATTCTCATTCTTATTCAAAAATATGAACTGCTTCAGAGAATTCTTTGCTTACTGCACTATCATCTCATCATAGGCTGTCATTGTTTTGTGGCGGCATGGCAAACTATGTGTACCACTTCAGTATGAAACATGAAAATACCAAATTGCCACATCCCAGAACCTTAATGCCTATGGTTTTAAGTTCTTCAAGCTGTCCAAGCAGGTCAAGTTCTAGAAGTGAAAATTAGATCATTAATGGACAACAAAGTAAGCTCAGAACTGGATGACTTCAGCATGTACATATACACTACACAACACACTAAGAAACCATCCATTTTCATTTAACCAGCCTGAAAGCAACAGCTGTAATACTGAAGAATGAAAGCATAGTGCAAAAGGAAAGGAAGAATTTTAAAAGCTAAGCACAACTCTTCAAAATCTATCAGGACAAAAGGTTCAAGGCAGCTCTGCGCATGTGCAATGTTGGATGAGAGCAAAGCTGACACATAAAACACGAACATCAAAGGTTAACACATTTAAACAGACCAAAAGCAAGCCGTAAGGGAAAAAAAAGTCTTGGCTTTTGGGCAGCTACTGTGCTCTCCTTCAGTTCTAAACCTAAGCCTTAACTAGGTAGCTGTCAGCTATAGCAAATGCCTCTTGCATGTCACTGAACTGGTGACCTGGGAGTGTAGGCCAGCCTTATCTCACCTGCTGAACACTGTGACTCCTTACCCTATTGGGCTTTACCAAGTATGATTTAAGCATATTAAACAAGCAAGCCATTTTACTTTAGCAAGATTCTGTGCCCATGTAGTAGCTGCTTTGCATAAACAAAAATTTACCTTAAAATGGATGGGTGAATCTAGATTAATGCAGCATTAAGTACTTCAGAAGGCAAATATTGACTCCGTATCATCCAGGAAAGAATGCAACATTTATAATCAGATTTGTAAACCACTTTCAACATTAACATTAACTGAAATGAAAATAATTAGAAAAAGTAATGATGACATAAGTTGGTTCATTGTCTAATGTTTAGGATTAGTAGTCAAACAGAACAGAATCTGGTCTTTGGTCACCAGCAACACCACACTTTTGAAAGACTGAAAATGCCCACCATGGTTGAAATATGTTGCCTTATTATCTAGAAGTCTTTAATATGTAATTGTGCTCAATCTTTTAAGCAGATAAATTGTCAGACAAGAAGGGACAGAACCTTATATTTCAACAAAAAATGCAGCATATGGCATAAAAGATACCCAGCATGGCTACTACCCTCCTCTAATGTTTGCACCCAGGATAGGCAAATTGCAGATGTAATACATGGTTTGGCTTACTACTCCATCACATGCCCAACATAGCCAATACTAGAGGAATATGCAAACTGTGGGCCAAAACCAGCAGCTCAGAGGCTGCCCACTCCTGAATTAAATGAAAGCCCATATCATATATATTTTCCAACAGAGAGATTTGGGACAGAGGAAAAGGCACAACCTGAAAAAATGAAGATTTTCTGCTATGAGCACAGATTGGTCTACATCCATATACACCCAGAAAAACATGCCATTACATAATATGTTACACACGCTTGATCTTCTCACAAGAAATTTAAAAAACCATGAATAGTGACTGGGAACAAACTTTTTAAAAACCCTTAAAACAGCCATTAATACTTTTCAATATTATCTAAGCAAAGCTTGAGCTGATAAGTTTTTCCTTATTTGACATTTAAATACTGTTTTTAATGATTCTCCAAACCAGAGTTTGGCCCAGTAACTTTGGAACTAATTTTTAATCTTAAACCACAAAAATATTGTTATAGTAAAACCATGAAAAGGGAAAGTGTTGTTCTGCATCTATAAGCTTCCAAATTTCACAAATTCAAGCCACTGTCTCCTATGAATTCCACAATTTCTGCCTTGCAACTCCCAGTTTTGTTTGAAACCTAGCTACCACTAGTTGCTATTTACATAATAATATGGCTGTGCTTTACAATGAGGAAATGACACAGGTACAACTTGATCAGAAATCACTGATTAGCTTCCCAATGTATTTTTGTGCCAATATATAATTCCACTTGAATAAAACTACAACTGCAAATTAAGTAATGTATGTTTAGGGGATTATGGAACATTTAGATTTCTGGCAGACTTTTACAATATATCTACTGTTACCCAGCCTACAGAGACCAGATCTTAAGGAACTCTGGTCTTCTGGATGCTTGTTGTGCCAATGTAAGCTCTTTTTATACACATAACCTTTTGTTAGAAAGCACATCTGGGTTTTCAGAGGCTGCATAAACCCACTTGTGTTAGTGAATTCTACAAGACATGCTTGTTACAGGTCTGACATATACAATTAGGTATTTGCTACCCCCTCGCAAAGAGAAAGGAGTAGAGTGTGAATTACTCTCCCCCTCATACCCAGTTAAGCTTTCTTTTGAGAAGGACTGGACAGAAGGGGGAAATACGAAATGCTTCAGAACTAAAGCAGCTGTATTTAAAAAAACAAAATACAGGACAACTAAATATAGGTAGGGAAACAGGGAGATGGGCTCTGAGACATCTCCCAACCTCTAAGGAAATTATTAGGGGTTTGGCAGCTAGCCAGAGAGGGGTACTTGAATGAAGAGGCCAGAGTCATCCCAACAACTAGAGAGAACAAACTAATATAAAAAGCCCCTCTCATGGATAGTACAATCGGAGTTCAGTGGGATCCAATGCCCAGGGGCCCAGCTGCCCTGCGAGTTAAAAAAGACATTAATGAGGGACTGCTGCTACAAGTGTGGGAATATCAACAGGTCCACGGGTCAACCCCTACTTTTGTTACTTAGTTGTTATATTGTTAATCCCTCCTTCAAGCCCTGGGACAGCAGAGAATGGCTGCAGCACTTTCCAGGGATGCTTCTAAATCCCTGACAGGGACAAAAAGAGAAGTCCCATCCCGGTAGGATGGAAGATCCTTTTGAAGCAAGCTACACGCCTTGCAAAAACAGATAGTGAGGGGCAGTGGTCCATCTTTCAGTCAATTGCCAGCGACTGAATCGGAACAAAGATGCGCCAGATCGAGACATAGGCACACTCAGATATTTCGGGGTGGGTTCACAGGAAGTTCCATGCTCCTGCTCCAAGCTTTTACATAACAGGAGGGAAAAAAGTTTGCCCCTTTCATAAGAAAAATGAGCTATAATAGACATACACGGATCTTTTCCGTGTGCCGTGAGCTTACACGTCTCGCACAAGCAAGGCTGAGGTTTGCGACCCACCCGGACAGCTCCGGACCAGCGAAACCCGAGGGCAGCGTTCGCTTGTCCGCAGCACGCCATGCCCCAGGACCCCAAGGGTGCGGGGACCCCCGCTCCGTGCGCCGCGGCGAGGGCGGTGGGGCATCGCGCCCCGCGGGCCCTACCCGAGCAGCAGAGCAAGAGAGCAAGAAGCAGCGAGCGCCGCACAGACCTGTCCTCCGAGTCCATGCGGCTGAGAGGCTCGCCGTCGGACGAGATCTCCAGGCTGCCTCGGCGGCCGCCCGAGGACGCGCTGCAGGTGCTGCTGCCGCCGCCGCCGGGGCCTCGTCCGCCGCCGCCTCCGCCGCCGGTTCCCCCGTCGCCGCCGCTGCCAGTGCTGTAGCCCTCGTCGCCGCCGTCGCCGGCCCCGCCGCCGGCGCCGGACACGCC